TTTGGCCAGATATCACCATTTAAAGCCTAACGGCTAGTTTTTTTAATTTTGTCAATTTTGTTTCTTTCTTTAGCTTTTAGAACGTTGCAATGAGCATTATATAAGCTCACTTAGTATTTCATTTGTAAACACCCTTGATCATTGAATTTAAATCAAAGCTTTTTAGTTTTCTCTTACAAAGTGAGTTATCTTTGTGTTTGTTTTTCATTTGAGTCTTAGTGTGGATTCACTATACTCTTTTGAGTTTGCGGAGTTAATAACTTGTGGATTCAAGTTGTGTATTTCGTGGTTGAGTATGGATTCATTCAACAAACCTCTATTTCGGCTCAAGTCTTGTGGATTCAAGCCTTGTTCTACCATTTTCATCCCTCAGTCAACACAAGAGAGCGCTAAAGCCAGTGTGAAGACTCCATCAAACCATCCACTCTGATCATTGTAACACTCTCACACCGAGTCTTACATCATCTGGTATCAGAGCTTTAAAAGCTCATATCCATCAGGTTGTGTTCATCCAACCTCTATCTTTTTATTTTTATTTTTTGTTATTTTTCATCTAGTTCAAAAAAAAAAATGTGTTCTTTGTTTTGTTTCTGTTTAATTGAATTTCTATAAAATAAAATCTAGAAAAAAAAAATTTGCTTTGTTTTCTGAATATTTTTTCCATTAAAAAAAATTGCAGTTTATTTTTATTTCCTTCAAAGAAAAGCAGAAAATCCAAACAATTGTCTTTTAAAAGCTTTTTTATCTTTATAAATTCATAAACAAAAATAAAAATTTATTTTGTTAATTTTTCGTCCTGCTCCATAAAGGAAAAGAAAATTTTGTTTTATTTATTATATTTCTATTTATTTTGAAGAAAACCCATAAAAAAAAGTGTTATTTCCTTTTCCTTGTTATTTGCTTTTAATTTTGTATATTCTTTTGTCTATTTGCATTAAGCCACGGTTCTGAATTTCTCATCCCTCTTTTGCAAGGTACAATCACGCCCATAATCTATGGAGTATGAAGAAGATGAGAAGAGTGAAGTCAACACCTCAGAAATTGATTGGGGAGAAGAGAGAAGCCAACACTCAATGGAAGAAGAAGATCACTATGAGAATGAGTCATGGAGTGGAGAAGCTTATTCTGAAGTCAGTTATGGAGGAGAAGAAACATGGCATGAAGATGATAACTCAGACTCTGACTTTGGAGATGAGCCACGTTTTGGAGAGCTTGAGCCTTAACCACCAGACTGTAGCCATGAAGATACAAGCCACTATGAAGGTGAAATAGAAGAAAACCATGAAAGAGACTCATGGCAAGAAGAGACTGATTCTCAAATCAGTGTAGGAGAAGGAGACCACGAAAATGAAGCTGATCATGGAGAACTCAATCATGAAGACCAGTTCGTGGAGCCTTACACACCTGAAGAAGAAACTGATTCACAAATCAGTTTTGGAGAAAATGAACAGCATGATGAAGAACCTTGGAACCATGAGGTTGCATCAGAAGCAAGTTCTTATGGAGAGCCAGAACGTGGAGATGAGCATCACTATGACCATGACAGTGAAGAAGAAGACAACAAGGCTGAAGAAGAAGAGCCCTCAGATCATTGCATTGAAGAAGATGAATGCTTTGAGCCACAGTACTTAACCTTTTCAGGTTATAGCCAAGGTGCAGAAGATTACTTAAAGTGGGAAGAAGCTATGGAAGCCAGCTTTCAATATAGCCAAGTGCCACTAGAGGAACAACTTCCCTACGCCCTTGACACTCTTATTAGGCCAGCTTATGAGTGGTGGGAACAAGAGGAGAATGCCAGAGTTTACTACCAAGAGCCAGCTCATACATGGGAGAGTTTCAAAGTAGAAATCTATGAGGAGTTTGTGATGAAAGTTGCTGCTCAAAATCAACATCATGTGAAGAGTTATTCCTACACTAAGCAAAGAAGATGGATTCTTGCAGCAATACCAAAGAAGGCTTATAGTCCTAAGCCAAAGAACGTGATGCACAACATTCATAAGAAGAAGATGCCAAATAAGAGTGTTGTACCAGCAGATGACGTTCACCAATCTTCAAAGCTAAAAGATGGAGTACAAAAGACAAGTACAGCTCCATTACATGAACTCCACAACAAAACAGAGCAATGTAAGTCTTCTCAACCTTCTAAGATAGAAGATATGACATGTTATAGGTGTCATCAAAAAGGTCATCTTGCTAAGATATGTCCATCTAGAAAGGTAGATACAACTTCACATCCTGAAACAGAACAGAAAGATACTAGGAGAGAAGAAAAAAATGTTGAACTTCTTAAAATTTTCAGTTCTAGTATAATGCACTTATCTTTGCCAAGAAATTCTGAAACAGGTAATAAAGAGAAGCAAGAAAATGTAGCTAGAGAAGAAACGCCATCTCTAGATATTGGACCTATCCCCAACAATACACAAGAGCTCACAAAAGTCTTAAACATCAATTCTGATGAGAGGGATAAAGAAAAGGAAGATATCAAAGAGAAACCACCAGATCAAGCTCCAAACACTTTCAGTGTTAGCCAGGTAAGTCTCTCTTTAACTCATTTCGTTCCTAATAGTTCCACAGCTGTATTAAAAGATTTATTAAACTTACAAGATCATGAGATATCAATTTGTTTAAAATCACAAGTAGAAAAAAATCTTGTTGCAACTAATGCTAATGAATTTAATTTCTCTGGTTTATCTTATCTTAAAGAATCCATAATGCACTTGTTTCTTGTCCAAAGTGTCAATATTATTTCAGGAACTAAAGGAGTAAGCTGCAAAGAAAATCCACCAGAAGAAAATTTGTTACAAAACCAATTGGTGATGAAAGATTTGGACCCAATGGTGATCATTACCAAGTTCACTAAAGAAGAGAAAATCGTACCAGACCTGATCAGAGGAGTAATCCTATCATACTTGCTCAAAGGAGAACCCCCTGACGTTTCACCCCTCACCAAATCAGAGCCACCTCAAGGTAAGAAAGTAAGCTCTCCTATAATTCATGATACTAACTTGACTTATCTTTGTGCAGATAAACAAGTTTTGAGGACAAAACTTTTTGAAGAAGGAGAGTATGATGCAATATTGAGGATAGCATCAACAATGGAACTGAGGATCAATGGACATGATGGTCTAGCCAAGGGTAAAGAAGAGACGATCTCCCTTGGAGAACATGTCATGAATAAAGGAGAGACTATATTTCATGATTTGTTCCTTCTAGACCTCAATCTCTTCATGAATTCAGACTCAACCAAGACGTGGAGAGCATACACAACTTAGCTAGAGTTTACCACGAAGAAGAATCAGCCAAAAAGGATTTCCTATGAAGAAGTTATTGAAGATACAATTTGGCGGATCTTCAATGAGCTCGATGAAGACATACGATCACTTATCGAGTCATTCCGGACGAAGCAGGATGAACCAAGCAACAAATTCAACTGTTTTGGATTCTCAACTCATCAGAGACGCGCGAGAAATTGGATTCGGTCCAAAATGATTTCATACGAAGGAGATATTCAATTTCAAAGTCGGGTGAACCGGAACCTTCCCGAATCAGACATGCGAGCGGTTATTGGAGGTTTCCCACTGAACCAGGAGGAATTAAGCGACGAACCGACTTGTTATGCAATCTTGATTCATCAGAGGACCGGAGCGAATTGGATTCACATCAATATCGGTTGTGATGTGAAAGTTATTGAGTTTCTAAACAGGAAGATGCTACACTTGCCTTATTTGGAGTCTTCCGAGTTTGAGAGATTGCAAACATATCTTTGGCGACCAGGAGATCCTTTCAACTATCTAGAAGCTTCAAAAGACGTCTTTAGCTGCACCAGCAACCAGAGAATCAGGCGGATCCTACCTTGGCCTTTCACACTTCACTACCTTCCTTATCTGGCTTCAAGAGCATTCACGTTTAGAGCAATCAATGTCCAACGGTTCTATTGCCTTTGCTGCTGCGTTTTGAAGTATTGTTCATTGGATATAGGCATACCAAAACATCATACATACACGCCCAAGTTGTCAAGAATCAAGCACACCAAAACCTTCCCATTTTGGCCAGATATCACCATTTAAAGCCTAACGGCTAGTTTTTTTTTAATTTTGTCAATTTTGTTTCTTTCTTTAGCTTTTAGAACGTTGCAATGAGCATTATATAAGCTCACTTAGTATTTCATTTGTAAACACCCTTGATCATTGAATTTAAATCAAAGCTTTTTAGTTTTCTCTTACAAAGTTAGTTATCTTTGTGTTTGTTTTTGTTTTTGAGTCTTAGTGTGGATTCACTATACTCTTTTGAGTTTGCGGAGTGAATAACTTGTGGATTCAAGTTGTGTATTTCGTGGTTGAATGTGGATCCATTCAACAAACCTCCATTTCGACTCAAGTCTTGTGGATTCAAGCCTTGTTCTAACATTTTCAACCCTTAGTCAACACAAGAGAGCGCTAAAGCCAGTGTGAAGACTCCATCAAACCACCCACTCTGATCTTTGTAACACTCTCACACCGAGTCTTACATCAACAACGAAGAAGAAAGGGGATCAAGTGTGTAGAAGGTTTATTTCTTCAAACTACATGAGCTTCGTTTTTGAGCTTATCTATCAACTCATCCACTGAAGAAACAATAACTCCAGATTTCCTCTTTGGAGGCTCCGTGACTTCCACAATCTCTATGTCAGATTTAACGTCTACATTCAGATCCTCCACGGTCATTTTCTTTATCGGCTTCGATTTCGCCTTCATTATGTTGGGGAGTGTTGCATATCTTGGTTGGTTCAGCCTCAAATCAGTTCTGCATTTATAACATCAAACCTACTATTAAGAAAAATAAGAGCTGTTGCACCAACCTATATAAGCTAAATGCTAGTTCTGCTTCATACTTTTAGAGATCACATAAGGAGTTCATGACAATCCGGTTAACTCGAAATGACATATCAAAAATTAGTAAATGCAGCTATATATATATATATATATACAAACCTCAAATTGAGATAGATCACGACACAGAACTTACGTTATCACAGCAGGTAAGTCTACACTTACGGTCTCAAGACCTCCATCCACTTCTCTATCCACGGTTGCAAAATGCTTATCTTTATCTAACACAACCTATAGCAGAACGCACATGAACAAAATAATCATAACTTTGATGGAAGAAATAAAACATATGGAAGAATTTTACAACTATGATCTGAAAGCATTCAAGGGAATCACTTGTTACCTTTGATGCAAAGGTTGCTTGTGGCCAACCAAGCAAAGCTGCAACCATTTGTCCTGTTTGATTGCAGTCATCATCTATTGCCTAATCGTTAAGAGGCAATAAACATTACACAAAAAGAAAAAGAAAACTTCATCCCAACATCATGAACAGAACATAGCATTTTAGAAATCAAACTCAACAAGATTGCCTTGCTTAACAAACAGCGAATGCAAAATGAAAACTACGCAAATTATACATTCTTATAAGCATTTTAAATCCTTAACCCAACAAGATTGCTTCTTCAAAGATCAATATTCATCATCCTAAACGATCCACGACTCAAAAGGTTTTAAGCATCAAACAATGAGCCAAGTTCGAATTTTTCGGTTTCTGAAGACTTAAAAATATGAACTTTAAGCTAAAATTCAGATTTAGACACTAAATCTCAAAATTCTATAATTTGACGCATACCCAATAAACTTCAAGTTCAAGCTCAAAACTTTTCATTTGAACGCAAGAAAATCGAAGCGAAAAGCACCTGTTTCCCGAGGAAAATCAATCCAGGATTCTCGACTTCAGCGAGACTCTTCAAGATCTTAGCAATCGTAAGAGGGAGGAAACTGGAATTGGTCTCGATATGGATTCCTCGATCCGCACCCATGGCTAGACCAGTTCGAAGCGTGTCAACGCATTGTGCAGGCCCGATACTCACTGCGACGACTTCTTTGGCGAAACCAGCTTCTTTGATTCGAAGCGCTTCCTCGAGCGCGATCTCGCAGAATGGATTCATCGACATCTTCACATTCTGGGTATCGACTCCAGTCTGATTTCCCCATAAAGTGATCGAATTTAACGATGAGTCACCGATTACAGAGAAATCCAGAGATGGGTTTTTGATTGTACCTTGTCGGGTTTGACACGGATCTTGACTGCGTAGTCGACGACACGCTTAACGGCGACGAGAATCTTCATCGTCCGATAACAGAAGAAAAATAGGAAGTCAACGTTAAAACAAGCAGAAGAAGCACTTTCGTTTTCTGGATCAAAACTTAGGCCTGATGTTCGTTATTTTTCCGCTGCAATCCGGTTTAGAAATATCGGTTGAGAGTTTTTTTGGTTCTATGAAACTTAGGTTCGGTCAGAATAATTCGATTCAATGCGGTTCGGATTAGGGATCTTTGTCAGGAAAGCCCTTAAATATTGAAACATATGCTCAAATAATCTCGTTATGTTTTAGAAATTGATTTTGATTTTTTTTAATCAAAAATATTGAAAAGACACTAAAGTCCAACCAATTCTTTACTGTTACAAATGCAACCAAATAATATTTACTCACTTGAAATATAATCCAAAATTAGATTCATTTTCTATTTAACAAAAAAAAAACAAAAAAAGATAAAAACTTAATTCACTGGGGTTTTTTTAGTTTATCAAAGAAGAAGAACAGAGAATCCTTGAGTTTGTCGACGAACACCCGATTATCAATTCTTCGCTTTCGTTCTTCAATTGTCCGCTGTTCATCATCTTCGATTTCACAATTGTCACGTTCGTCCTCTTGTGGATTCCACAGTCTCCACCATCTCTGTTGTTCCTTCATCTCTGCCGTTCTTCATCTCCGTTAGTATAACTAGTATTCTTAGTATAACTAGTATTTTTAGGTTGGTATAACTAGTATTCTTAGTATAACTAGTATTCTTAGGTTGGTATAACTAGAATTCTTAGTATAACTAGTTTTTTTAGGTTGGTATAACTAGTATTCTTAGTTGGAACTGAGTATTACTAAGCTTAAATATTAACTAAATATGTGTATGTATACTTATTTTTCAGAATTCTGAGGAGGATATGGAAGGTATGCATCCTCCTGAGCTTAACTTCGAGAGTTCAGAGTTTGTCCACTATCCTAAGATACAATCCAAGTGTGAAGAGATGAATACAATGAGTCTGATTTCTAAAAACCTAGAAGACGGAGACGAGCTAGGGTGGTTCAGAAGTCATCCGCAGTTTTGTCACTTGTTTTACATGCCTCTCGAATGAACTCGTAAATTGATGGAGTTTTGGATGTTAGCTCTGCATACCATTAAAATTGAGGGAGGAAAGGTACTTTGGTTTATGGTTAATGGTGTTCCCATTAGGTACTCTATAAGAGAGCATGCACTTGTGTCTGGGTTTTGATTATGAGAAGTTGTACGGTGATGAGTTCGAGGAAAGGCATTTTGAGGGGAAAAAAACGATAATTGTGCAAGATGTGAAGAGTAAGCTGGAGACAATGATGGCTTGTGTCTCTTCATATCATTGTAGTTCAATGGATTTATAGTCCCTGTAACAAGAGATTTACAAATCTGAATTCAAAATTGAATTTGATAAGAATCCTAATTTTACAAATCTGATTTCAAAATTGAATTTAATAAGAATCCTACATTCAGCATTCAACCTAGATTTAACAGTAAGAACCCCAGATTTACCAATTTGAAATCGATATAGAAATTACCTTTCGCCTCTCTCTCTCTCTCTCTCTCTCTCTCTCTCTCTCTCTCTCTCTCTCTCTCTCTCTCTCTCTCTCTCTCTCTCTCTCTCTCGTGCGCTCTCTCTCTATCGGAGGAAAATGAAAAAGTCCAAAAATGAAGAAAAATGAGCTATGTCGGGATTTATAGTAGGGACCACACTGTTAGATATTTTTCTTTTTGTCTAGATAGCATTGAAAATTTCTAAATAGTTGTCCCTAAGTATCTAGTTGTACAAAGTTCTTAATAGTTGTACTTTTGCAGTTTAATTGTAATTATAGTTAAACCTTCATATAAACTATTATGAATTAGTTGTACATTACATTTGTAACTATAAATTATCATTTTGAACATTTTGATATGATAATATCTCGAAATCATACATTTTACCACTTTTTCATCATAAATGGTTAACATTCAACAAAGTATACTTTATACTAGAAGAAGTGTTTTACCTCAAAGCAAAGATATGAGTTAACAATTAAATTTTTTTCTTGTCTTCGTTTTTATTATTTACTTTGGGTTTACAATGCTCGCACAGTCTGTCTTAAGTGAATGATTTATTCAGATTATCACATTGAAATCATCGTTTACAAATATCAGTAATACTAGTAATACCAGTTGTATATTCTAATTCAGAAACTGCCAAATACACGAAATGGATAACAAATCTCAATAATACCAGTTACAAACCTCAATAATACTAGTAATACATTCAAACACTACTGATAACAAACAAATTAAACTAGAATATGCACCTAAAATCAAATTCAAATAGAATTCATAACTGCAATTGCAAACCCTTAAATGATTTCAATAAACCTCATTGATTTCTACTCATATATTCCTTGATCTTACATGAAATGCAACAAATCTACAAAAACCCAAACCTAGATTTTGAAATTGCAGCTTTAATGCAGCTTTAATGGGGGTTGGAGGCGGCTCAGGCGGCGGCGGCGACGGAAAGAGGTCGATGGAAGGAGCAAAATTTTGAAGAAAATAATCAATTTATGTTTTAATGTTTTAATTTTGAGAAAGGGGTATTTTCAGAATTGTCTATTTCATTAAAATGAGATGGGACCCAAGAGGGTATGTAGATTATGAGAGGATAGATCAGATTTTACAGAAACAAATAAGAGTATCCGAGATCGTGACCCTTCGGATTAGTCCATTTTCAGATGTATTTGAATTAGATTTCGATAAAAAGTTAACAAATGTAACAATAAGTAGTTGATTACAGTTTTGTTATGGTTTCGACTTTCGACTGCTAAAACTGCAATACTGCATAATCATAAAATGGCAGAAAATATAATTTTTTTTTTGTCGTCTTTTTGTATTAAAACAGCCTAAAATGAATAGAGGGTGGTTACATAATACAACTCATAAATAGTATAAGTAAGCCCAAACCATAATAAAAAAGCCCATAAATCTACTATTCCAATCTAAAAACACGTAGAATACATGCATAACACAGTGAAAACTAAAGAGCCACATGCAATGATTAGAGGGAAGTCGCTTTCTCTTCCATCTGCAATCACGAACAAGGACAATCTGCCGTCGAGATCCTCCATCGACGATGAGAACAAAGTACCAAGTGACTTCCATGAAGCTGCTTCCTTTTGCATAGATCGCCGGAGAAGAATGAAGAATTAACACCTATTCACCAGAAAAATTAACTGCTGGAGTCATCGGAAGTAAGGTCACAAAATTTTCGCCAGACCGCATCAGCGCGAGCTCTTCATATTCTGCTCCAAAACAGTCCAAACTAAATCCCTCCTCTTGATTCCTGACCATCTTACGAGAACCTTTGCTGCTAATAAACAGATCTTATCGATCAAGAAAGCAAAGAAATTACACTCTCTAGAATAGAAATCAAGCGAATCTGATGAAAGAGAAATTAATCATCTTCAACCGGTATTTGAGAAAGAAACATGCAAAAAAGATCACAGAACAAAAGATTCTGAGAGATCCGGAGTTATTAATCCGATAAACAGAAGAAAAATCCGATAAACAGAAAAGTTATTTTACAAAACTAGACTTTGCCGGAAAATTGTCTCTCTCTCTCTCTCGAAGATATTAGTGAGAGAAGAGAGAGAGAGTCTATTATGGAAAATATAATTAATTTGCTAAATAATTTAAATACTATAGAATGAAAAATTGTGAAATAATTTTTTTGTAAGATTAAATAAGTTTGTGAAATGATGGAATATAAATAAATTAAAATGATTTTCATTATATTATTGATATTATCATAAGTTCATAACTAATTTCGTTATAAATTTAAATCATATTATTATTTGAGAAGCAAGTTGGGCTGTGGTTGAGAGTTATGATAGTTGATTACTCTTTACCTCTTATATGAAAAGACTTTATTTACCTTTAATAAAATTAACAAATTAATATAATCTAATTTTTAATTAATTTTTGTTTTTTTAATCCAGATTTCCAAATTCAAGTTTATATCATAAAAATATTCAGTTTACTATAAAAAAAAATTAACTAGCATATATCACAAAAAAATTTGATCCTAATTATTTTCTTAAACTAATTTTAATTTGATTGTTTAACCTATTAATATTTTTTACTAACCTAATTGATTTAATAACGCCACAAGTAAAACCCTAAATTCTTTAAACCTTTTTGAAACTCTGTATATATTAAAACAAAGTTTTCAAAACAATCTAGATCAACCGATGGCCGTACGTCTCTCTACAGCTTTTTTTTTAGATTTATAATCTTTTTTCAAGAAAACAGTCGTGGAAGATTTGAAGTTACGATTTTATTGAAAATTTTGTTTGATGCAACAAAACAACAAAGCATACATATAAATTTTTATCGGATAATATAAAAGATATTAAAAAAAGAATATATAAATAATATTTTACTTTATCACAAAAAATATACTCATGAAAATTATATTTTTTAAATATATTAATTTTGATTTTGAATAATTATAAAATTTGATTTTTTCATTTATAAATAAACTAATATGAGGAAACACCTAGTTGTTATTATATTGATTTTTAGTTTACGTCGCTTTGATTTTATTGTGATTCGGCTTAATACATATAAAGTTTGAGCCCAAATGTAACCCATTAGCAGTTAACCCGGCCCATCAAATCACATATCAAAGTACAAATTCTTTAACATGATCTTCTCATCCTCCCCACCTTTCTCAAAGAAGAAGTCAAAAGCTTGTGTGTGTCTCCTCTACATTTATGTAGCAATTATAAACAAAAAGAAGCTCGATAGTACACCTAGTTTGAAATATATTGAATGGACCGACCAATGAATGTAATAAAAGCCTCAAGACTAAATCAATGGTAATGTGATGACAAAAACAAAACAACAATATCAAACGGTAGGGTCTCTTTTTAAGTCCGCCCATACCATAACTTTTTCTTTTCGTTTACTTTTTGGATTCTCATGATCTTCAAGTTTCCACTTCCTCCGACCACTCGTCGTCTCTTC